ACACCCGACAAATTAGCTTGTGCTTTTAGTAGAATGAGATAACAGCCGAAAAGTTGACATGAGAAGTTGGCAGGTGAAGTAACTCTCAAAAAGTTGACATGAGAAGTAGGCAGGTGAAGTAACTCTCGACAAGTTGACATGAGAAGTAGGCACGTGAAGTAACTCTCGACAAGTTGGCATGAGAAGTTGGCAGGTGAAGTAACTCTCGACAAGTTGGCATGAGAAGTTGGCAGGTGAAGTAACTCTCGACAAGTTGGCATGAGAAGTTGGCAGGTGAAGTAACTCTCGACAAGTTGGCATGAGAAGTTGGCAGGTGAAGTAACTCTCGACAAGTTGGCATGAGAAGTTGGCAGGTGAAGTAACTCTCGACAAGTTGGCATGAGAAGTTGGCAGGTGAAGTAACTCTCGACAAGTTGGCATGAGAAGTTGGCAGGTGAAGTTGGCAGCCGCTTTTAGAAGAAGAACCCTTCGCAATGCTTCCGGGAAAAACGCCGCAAATCAGGAAGAAATGCCGCAAATCCAAAAAGGCGCCTTTTTTGAATTGCGGCAGAAATTTCTGCCGCAACGAATCTCTAGGTATCTATCTGCCTTTGCTCCCATGATGTGGGTCCTTTGCTTGGCCTAATTTCAGGTTGTGTTTGTGTGCGTGTTGTGGTAAAAATTGCAGATGGATCTGTACATATGTTTATTGGATTCCTCAATGTCCTTATGCACACATTCTATGCACACATTCAGATGCAAACACATATCTTTCCAGCACAAAATTGCCCGAGGCAAGAACTCAAGCGCCGGGACCTATGGGGCCTTGTCACGAGGTCTTCCATTTGTGAGCTGACCCCTGTTCCAAGGGACCTCCGGGAAGACTTGCCTGAAGAGGGACCCTCTTTTTCATTTCGCGTTCTGTTTCTGGGAGGGTAACTCCTCAAGTTTGTGTTTGTTTAAACAACAACAACTGCCTAAAGTTGTTTCTGTCTAAACAGAATAACAAGAACTGGTGACTATGGAAATGGCTTGTTTCCCTTTGGTGTCTTTTTCAATTCCATTCCAGCGGATTCACTCGCTGCTCGCCTGAAACTTCTTTTCAGCTGAACTTGCCCGAAGCGAAGCGAATGGCAAACACTTTGTAAGGTGTCTCCTTGGTGAAATTTGAGTGGCTCTAAAAGGTGATCACCTTTGATTTCTGGGTCCTTTGCGCAGAATGGTTATCCAAAAGGCGTTCCTGTGGGGACACCCAAAAGGAGGCTTGGTAAGAGGGTCAGGGGAAGCAACGGGGCTTGTGCGTAAAAGGAATGGGTTGCCCTGATGGAAACATGGACGAACAGCTGCTGTTTGCTGGTATAGAATAGCTTTGAGCCATACCCAGGTTGTAAAGTCATCATGCCCCACTTGTGGGGAAATGGAAACATGGACTAAACCCTTGGCTTAGAGTAATTTTGAGCCATACCGGAGTAGAGGGAGGAGTTTTGCCCGCCAAAACGATCTGCTTGTCGAAGCTTCGGCTCGAAAAACCGCCGGTCGCGGCCATGGGACAAGAGCAGGCGCCGAGTCGATGAAAAGCACTCCGAGAAAGCCAAAGCATGTGTCAAAATAGGGCGAAATGCGGCTTCACCTTTGTTTTCCCTAAGCAGCCTGAAAAGGCGCCGACTCGAAAGCCAAATGGTCTGGGATGTTTTTGCTTCCATGTCCACTTGAGGTCACGCATATAAACCTTAGAGATCAAAGGATCACTGAAGGGGACGACCAAATGCCAAACGCACGGGGTCCCTTAGTACCTCAACATTTCTTGCCGGATTTGTACGAACTGGCCCAAAAAGCCGTGAAGCAAAGTGGTGAAGACCCTTTAAGTGAAAGTTCAGGGATTTGGGGAGTTTGACAGCCCGAATCCCGAAAGCCTTTGGAAGGGAGTTAATTATTTTCCAGGGGCTAAAGCAGAGCAAGTCGAGGGAAGACTTCCCCCCCAATTTACCCACGAAGAGAGGATGGGACACACAAGGGCGACCCAGGGTCATTGAAAAATGACTCATGTGGTCAGTTGTTTGCTAAATGAACAGTTGATTTTTTCAGGCTTTCAGGATCCACTTGGAATGCAAGTAGTTTTTGGATGCATCCTTTGAGAACCCCTGTCATAGATCTCCCCAACAAGCCACACATTTTGCGTCCGACACTTCTCAGCCGGAATCTGAAGGCTACATGTACCAAGTGTTCAATAGCGTCCAACCCGCAGAGTCAGAGCTGATTCCCCACATATCAACCGCAGAACTGATAGATTGCAGGGGGAAATCCGGGATACTTGAAATGGTGTAGATGGACAAACATCCTGCACCAGTTAATAGGGATGCATGAAATCTTGTGTGAATACTGGCTAATAAACTACCGTTCCCAACTGGTGCTGTGGAATTTGTCCATCAGAGGCATCCACCGCAGCTGGGTTTCTCACAATGGATCAATCTGCCTCCGGAAGTGGGCGAGGCCGACTGGCCCGTGCACTGCCTCGAGTCCCTGGCAGGCCTCCTGCGACGCATCAAAGTCTGCCATAAGTTAGTAGGTCCCCCAGTAGTGCACTTTCTCTCCCCCTTGTTTGCTTGGGAGGGTTCAACCCTACTAAAATAGACTGCAGAAAAAAAGGTACCCTTATTCTAATCTCTCTACAAAGTGGGTATGGGTCAAAAGTAAACCACCAGGAATTGGACCGCAGGTTTTGGTCCGTGGCTGCACTTGCCGGGGCAAGCCATTTTGGGGTACAAATTTTTGAACCACGGCCAAGTCAGTCCCGATAGGTCAAATGGACACCACCTGGTGAATTTTTTACACCTGGACCCCCAGAAACAGAGCCTATTTGTTGAAGTTACAAGCTCGTTCTTGTTCCCCCCCTTTTTTTTTCTCCCACCCGCTCAAAGCTTTGGTAGCGGCTTGAGGGGTGAGGGTTGCTGCTAGGGATATCACCTGGTGCTTTTTTTGGGTTTCTCTACTGCTCTGTGGTGCTGGAAAGGAGCCTTGATCGGAAACTGACTCGTAGTTGCTACTTGCACTATAAAGGGAACCCAGAATCAATAAACTTCAGCCCCAGGTTCGGGGAGGCTCAGAAGTTGCCCAGATGTCCTTTTTGGAGTTGCCCCACCTCATGGAAACTGGGTAACCTCTCTTGCAATGGGCTCCATTAACATGGGAATCCTTTTTTGGATGGGTTCAAGGGGAAACCAAAAAGGACACCATCATGTTGGGGGGGGGGGCTAAGAAGAACCATATTGTGGTTTGTTGGGAGAATAGTCCAATCCCTTGGACACATATTGCGCAACCTGAATAAGTCCACCCAAAAAGGACCAATCGGCCTTCCAGCCAGGCCCTTCTAGGTTCCAAGTGTTTTTTCTTTTCAGACGATACAGACACATCACATATGCATATTATATGCATAATATTCATGTAGTCATGCTTTGATGCAACAACCAACTAACTAAAATTATATGGCTCAAGACATTAGAATGTACTGTTACAAGACTAAACTCTACCAAAAGATGTATGCACCATGTCCAACCAAGGAAAAAAACAGACCTCGCGTGGGTTGTTTCGCCCAGGCCGTCGACTCACCGCGGATGTGGTTTCGTTCACCGCGGAGATCCGGGCCCTTGAGCTGCCCGGCGGAAGTCGAAGTCGCGCTTCGGGCTGCGGGTGAGGCGAAGCGACGAGATCGGATCCCCGGGCTGAAGAAGAAAAACCTGTTAATCACTGAATCTGAACAGCTTTTGATTGTGTTTCCAACACAAAAACTGATCGTGTTTGTTTGGGGTATGACTTTTTTGGAGGTTTTTGGGTCTCCTGGTGGTTGATAAATAGGGCGGTGTCTTTTTGTGAGACTCGGAACCCTTTTTGGGGCTGGGTCTAATGGTACGGGTTCAAGTTCAATCTGGGGCCAATGTCTGGCGGGAGTAAATGGATTGAGTCCGACTGCAAAGCACAAGAAGCACGTGGATGCTGAGTCATTGATTCAGAGCCCACTTGGCAAAGGGACCCAATTGCAAGCTAGCGAGAGACCTTGAAGGAGCCATACCTATGGCTCCCCTTGCAAGTTGGCACTTTGCGCGTTCATTGAGCCCATGGATTCAGGGAAAAGGACAGCCTTGCGTGGTACCGGGGCGCTTTCGCTGCTCCTGATCCGCGCGACCTCCGTTCTGCTTGTTGACAAAAGCACGCTTGATGCCACTGATGAAATGCATGGTCACCTTGACGCAATCCCTGATGAAGACTTCAGGCCAGATGTTTGTTGGCTGCTGTCCAGGTAGACTCAGGTAGACAGTCATGTCCTTCGCTGCAGGCGAAGACTCCTCCGTTGCATTCCGCCTCGGCTGACGACAGGCGCAGCGTTTGAAGGCTCTCGGCGTACGAGTTCACCAGGCCCCAAAATGAAGATGCCGCACGACGACTTGCAGTTGGCCCAGTCTATGTCGGAGTAGGACGTGTAGGAGGTACAGCTTCTTAATCTCCCCACTCCGCGGCAACCAGGTCCCGTTCCTTCATGTCCTTGGCAGCTCCCCCTCCTTCTGCGGACTGCGAGGCAACCTTGTCTTAGGCTTCCTCAAAATGCAAAGGTTATCCACCCGACCTTGATGATCATGTAGGATGTTGGCCATCCTCAGTCGTAGAGCTTCAGGATGTTGATGTACTTCAACCTTGGTGCGAGGAAAACGGCGTCCTTGAAGGTTACCCAAGGTCTGTAACAATGACATTAGCGCCTCGTCTAGACCCCGATGCCTTCAGCTCCAGAAGGGATAACGCAGCTGCAATCCTGGCGGCCACCTTGACGGATGGCTCTCCATATCTCTCCATCAATCCTCGCCACGGGGTGTGCAACACGCGCCGTGAAGGATGTCATGTAGCTCCAGATTCTTCCGCAGCGCCTTCACCTCCATGGTGCTGCTGTCCCACGCCATGGCTTGAGCAAAACTCACACCAAAAAAACTTGGCGGGGTTTGTACGGCAGCGTTTGTCCATCTGCGCCTGCAACGATGCTTGCTGCGCAGCAACAGCAGCCGGTCCAGCATGTCTCAGCTGTACCTGAAAGTCTCCTGCAGCTCATTCGTGAGTGCAAAGCTTGTGTGGAGAGGAAGCTAAAGAGGGCCTGAGCCGGGCGTCCACGTCGAGAAGGCTTCCACAACCATTCCCGCTGAAGGGGGGTGCAAAGATTTCTGCACGGACTCTATGCGCACGCAGTTGCTCATTTACACACGTTTTTTTTGAGCACCGCTTGGATCCAAGTGAACGAACCGCCAGCCCATCGTCCAGCCCGGGACCGAGCCGTGAACAAATGGCCACCCGTATTCCCAGTGAACATCCCAATCCCCACCAAAACAGGTTCTAAAATGGGTGGTGCAGCTACCCCCAAAATGGGATCCCAAAACGGTTTTGGCCACCACAGCCAAATCGCCAAGCCGCGCTTCGTGTCGTGAGGAAGGCCAGCCACTGGGCCCGCGCGCTGCAGCTCTTCCACGGGCTGGAGGGGCTGAAGCTGCAGCCGGCGCCTCGACCAGCGAAAGGCTTCGGGGCCTCGGGGGATCTCGGGGGCCGTTTTGGACCGGAAGTTCGGTAATTACGTGCCATTCCCATCCCACGCAAGGCGCCATTTTTCGCGAGAAGTTCTTGAGGGCCCCTTTTTGTGATATTTTGTGATAGCTTTACAGAGAAGCCAAAAGGAAACCGCCCCAAACTGGGGGAGGATCCCTCATTGTATAGCCCGAATCTAGACACGAGCAATGTCGACATGCATTCCATCCACTGATTGCTGCCTTGAGTCAAGGGATTGATTGAACACCTTGAAAGGTAAGGACCTTGTCGGTTAGTAGGGTGAACCAACTCCCCCAAAAGTGTAGTGGAGCAGAGCAATGGTTGAAGATAATGGACACGGAGCCGACGTGCTGTGTTTTGTGGACCGACCCTCAAATTTGGATGGGCGGGGTGTGTTTTCCCCAACAGCGAAGGTTTCCCGGTACTGGACATACGCTGATCAACCAGGGCTTTATGAATCCTGGGTTCCAAGAAAAGCCTGGGTCCCTTGAACGGACAGGGGGTCCCGGTCAGGTGCCTCTGAGTAGCTCTGGGCATATATGTTGGGTTCTTTAAAGCTTTGCGACAGGACCATGCTTTGGGGTGTCAAACTTTGGAGTCCCTCCCACGCTTTCCTTGAAACCAACCAGAGGATCTCAGGAAAAAATTCCCAACCAGGACCCCCGAGTTAGGTTCCATGTTAAGACCCTGTTGAGGTGTTCCGAGCTACCGTCCGAGCTACCCAATGACTGCTTTTTCCCATGTACAAAAGCCCATGTCCAAAGAGCAGCCGTTGTGGGGTGGTGGATACTTTTGTTTTGGGCCCCGGTTGTAAGTAAACGCGCTCGTCGCATGCCCAAAACCATAGGACATTCATGCTTGCGTGCCATTGTTGACGCGTGCAATGGTGTTTTGCGCAAGCCTCGTCATACACTTTCAACACTTCGACGGCAGCGGGGCAGCTTTTGATTCATCCAACCAGCTACTCACTTCCTGGGCCTGAAGCAGGAACAAGCATGGCTGTCAAACGCGCGTGTCCGCTGCCTCCCCTTTGGGGAACACAAGCGCTTTTGCGCTTGTTTGCGGGCAATCGGCGCGTTGCTTTGGCCATACATTCACCCCACCCCCCCGCCCAAAGGCACAGGGCGGTCCTTGACTGACCTGAACGGAAGGCCACGGTGTAACTTGAGAACTCGAAGAAGCGGACGGTAGTCGACCAGCAATTTGCATGTTCGATGTCCCGCCAGTAACTTCGTGTTTAGCAACCCTGCTTTCAGTTGGGGTAGATACTTACCTCCACTCGAGGAGTTGTCAGGTTCTTGCAGAGGGCTACCCCTCCTACGAGCCTATTAAATGGAAACCCGGGATTCATCACCGCACCTGGCTGATTAATACGGAGGAGTCCCTTTCTCGGTGGGGATGCGCAACAGTTTCTTGGGAGACCGCCGCAAAATGCAAGCTTTGCGATCTTTTTTCGCTCAGGACTTGATCTCATGCAACACCGCGATCCACGTTTGCGCGCGAGGTGGGGTCGGTTGAGTGTCATAACTCCCATGGCCCATGTGCTTGAATATGTTTTACTTTCCCCTGTCGGTCTGAAAGGGAATTTATCAATCACTACTGGAAATGTTGTTGTTGTTGTTGTTGTTGTTGTTGTTGTTGTTGTTGTTGTTGTTGTTGTTGTTGTTGTTGTTGTTGTTGTTGTTGTTGTTGTTGTTGTTGTTGTTGTTGTTGTTGTTGTTGTTGTTGTTGTTGTTGTTGTTGTTGTTGTTGTTGTTGTTGTTGTTGTTGTTGTTGTTGTTGTTGTTGTTGTTGTTGTTGTTGTTGTTGTTGTTGTTGTTGTTGTTGTTGTTGTTGTTGTTGTTGTTGTTGTTGTTGTTGTTGTTGTTGTTGTTGTTGTTGTTGTTGTTGTTGTTGTTGTTGTTGTTGTTGTTGTTGTTGTTGTTGTTGTTGTTGTTGTTGTTGTTGTTGTTGTTGTTGTTGTTGTTGTTGTTGTTGTTGTTGTTGTTGTTGTTGTTGTTGTTGTTGTTGTTGTTGTTGTTGTTGTTGTTGTTGTTGTTGTTGTTGTTTTTTTCAGGGGACTTAAGCAAATTGAAGGATAACGAAGGGAATCCTGCAAAATTGTGGTTTGGGTCCATAGGGGAGCTCAAGCCTTTAAACTCTAATTGAGCGTTCCAAGCATACCCTCAACAAAAACAAGCACCTGATTGAGCCGGCAAGAAAACTCCGGTCCGGAGCGCGTGATGTCATCGCCCAACGGGTCCTGCCAAAGTCAGGACCCACAGGGCAGGAAGAGAGGGATCCATCCGTAGGGTGAGGTGGTGAAAAGATGCCAGTCAGATTAATTTGGCAGGGACATGTTGAACTTTCTAGACTTCCCACCAAATAAGAGGGGACTCACTTATTCACTCATTTCCCGTGTCCTTTGCGCGAACCGCATATTCCGACCGTGGCTCAGGTGTGCAATGTTTGGAATTTTTGTATGTAGAGACAACAGCTGGACACACCCTTACAGTAACATGGAACCCAACAAGGAAGGCGGTCCCCCAATTGGCGGCTTCCTCTACATGCAAATGGCTAACAAGGGTTCCTTGTTAAGCTGGGTATGCAGGCAGCCACTCCGTTGGTGTTTCCAACGGGGCACCTTTTGGTTCAACGCTGCTACCCTTTGTTCCGTTGACCTCGGACGTTGAAACACGAGCCACGCGAAGGGCGGGGGGTCCTTGGGTTTGAGCTCCAAAACCCCGATTTTGGACCATGCGAACCTGCGCTCTGTATTTTTGGTGGTTCAAGGACTGAGGAAGACCCAAATGAGGGCTGTTCAAAACGAAGAACACGTCCTCTGGTTGTCAAGGGCCACCCCCAGCCCCCCCCCAATACGGGCCCCACAACTTTAATAGCGGGGAACCGAAAATGGCTTCCTTCGGGTGCCTCGGAGGGTCCAATTCCTCTTTCGGGGAGCCAACAGCCCCATGGGCTGCTGTGTCCCAGGCGAAGCGTGGCAAGCGGCTTTGCAGCTTCTGAATTCGCAGGCGCCGGGGTGGATACTCCGCACCTGGAATTGGTCAACCACCTAATCAGCTGAAGTTTGTCCGGAACTGTGGATGGACGAAATCCTGCACCGCCTGAGAAACCCTGGAATGATGATTCCCCTGCAGGTACCAACAAACAATGGTGTCCCATGGTTTCAAAATGGTGCGGATTTCGTCCATTCACAGTCAGTACCTTGCAAGACAAGTCCAGTTTTGGTCGAGTTCAGCCTTCTGCAAAGGGTGTTGGCTTGGGGTGTTTGGGGGGCCCGTCAAGGTGTGTGAAGACTGGACCACTTTGGGTGTCTTTTGAAGCCCCTTGCCCTAGGGTTGAAAGGGGAAGGGAGACCACATAGTTTGGATTTCGTTGTGAGATTGGGTGTGTCTTTTCAAGGCTGGTCCCCCAAAATGATTGGGTTTTGCTTTTGGTTGTCCTTTAAATAGCTTTGAAACCACTGAAGATGGGCTACCGAGTTCCAAAAAACAACAGACCCATGTGCAGGTGTTCTTAGTATCTTAAGAGCTAGTTCCGATGGTTTGTTACTAGCCTTGGTTGGTGCATTTGATTGCACGTCGGAAACTTTAAGCTGCCCTGTTAAGAATGCGGTGAAATCAGAGAAGGCCATCAACCATTCAAGAAGGATCCAGAAGCTATCAACTGACTTTTGAATATTTCGGCAACTCGACAGCACTTTGCCACTTTGTGTGACATCAAAGCAATCCCCTTCAAAGATCGTCATGGCGAATCACCCGCTTTGGCATCACAAGGGTTTTGTAACCACGGAACCAATTTGGAACATGGCTCGCCCCATAGAGCCTCCGCTCAAACCGAGCGAGTCGGTTTGTTTTGTGAAGCCGTCGGTTTGGCGGAAAGGAGGCTGACGTGATCAGCTTCAGCGCCTGCATCTCGGTCCTTGGCAAAGCCGGGCGCTGGCAGCAGGCGGTTTAAACCGGCGGATCGATCGGCGGATCGAGCGGACAGCGGTTTTTCGGTGTCCGCAAGGCGCCCGGAAAGGAACCCCCCTGCGGATGGGGGATTTTGGACCGTGGCGGCGTTTCTTTGGGCTTTCCTGAAAACCCACCTGAAAAGGGTACCCTTAAGAGACCCATACCCGGGTTGGGTCAACACCTTCAAACTCTGAACGCCTACGTATTGTTTAAAACAATCTCCTTTTAGTCTACCTTTAAATGGGGCCAGTATGGGGACAGTTTACACAAGCTTGCCCAAGCCTGTTTGTTCTTTTACCCATCCACTATCACGGAACCTGAGTGGAAGACGATTTTCCTCACGGAACCCTGTGGGTTCCATGTTCGGCGGGGGGTAAACGGCCTGAAAAGGCTAAAGGGAGCATTTTTTTCCAGAGAAGTCGTTTTCTCCAAGTGCCGTTTGTGTTGAGTTGTTGGTCTCCTCAGGCTTGAAGGACCCCACCCAAAGAAGCGCATCCTTCGAAGCGAGGCTTGCGCTGGTTTTGATTTCTGGGTGCGCTTGCAGGGCCTGCACCCTCGGTTGTCACCAAGAAAGGTGACCTGCAACTTCATGTGTCCTTTTCGGAGTCGAGGGAAGGCATGTGAGGGGCGGGCGCACGTTCCCAGTTGGGGGTGGTGTCCATCAGTTTGGAGTGATTCAATTGGACAGAAACTAAACCCACTAGAACAAGGGCCGCCTCTGTCAAGGAAACGCCAGTTCATACTTTAGCGGACAGACGGGTTCTTGCAAACCAGTTCACCAGCAGGATACAGCCCCTCGCAACATCGTATGACTGGAAGTGGTTGCCTCTGTCCAAGAGTTGTATGGGGGCGCCGTTTTGTTGTTTTCTCTCCTTTTTTTCCGCCCGGTTTCGAATCAAAATGTGGTTCCAAGGGAAAGTGAATACAAGCTACGCGTTTTGAGGGTCGGAAGCTGTAGATGACTGAGCCATAGCCTCAGCGCCTCGGATGTACTGAACCAAGCTGTTCGAAAGTTGCCTCGGATGTTCAATCAACCTCGGTTTATTAACGGGGTGGGGAATCACCACTTTAAGAGGGGAACACCCCCCTCTCAACATACTGGGGTTGATTAATATGGGGGCGGCCGTTAGGGACCGTCTGACCCCCGATTTCAAGCCAGCGCGTGCGAAGCGCATCGGATCCGAACAGTGGATCTTGCGTGAGGCCATGCTGGTGCTCCGGACCATGATCGACGCTCGGAGAGGAGGGTGTGTGTCTGTTTTTTTGGGGGAGCCCTTTTTGGGATTGTTGCAAGGGGAAACCAGGCACCTAATCTGTTGTAGGTTCCCCTGTTTTGGGACAAACCCAGGAGTGGCTATCTGTTTCCTTGTGACAGGAAAGCACAGGCGCAGGGTGTGTGGCTCTTCTCTCTTCAGCTTCCGACCTGTTAGCCTTTGGACGAACAGTCCGGACTTCTGACCAATCCACTTAGGAAGTGACGGTTGGTCCCTTGTTTTCAGAGGCAGGGGCAAAGATTGAGGGGCCGACCTTCATGTTGCCCAAAAGGACGCTTGTGTATTTCTTCCATTCAGTCAGTCAATCATTCAGTAATTCATTCAGTTTTGTTGATTCATTTATTCATTAATTCACTCATTCACTCATTCTTTCCTTCCTTCCATCCATTTATTCCGTTCCGTTCCGTTCCGTTCCATTCCGTTCATTGGTTCATTCGTTCATTTGTTTATTCGTTCATTCATTCATTCATTCATTCATTCATTCATTCGTTCATTCATTCATTCGTTCATTCGTTCATTCTCATTCATTCATATTCATTAATTCGCTTATTTATTCAGTCAGTCAGTCAGTCAGTCAGTCAGTCATTCATTTATCCATCCATCCATCCATCCATCCATCCATTCATTCATTCATTCATTCATCCATCCATTCTTTCATTCATTCATTAATTTATTCATCCATCCATTCTTTCATTCATTCATTTGTTTGTTTGTTCGTTTGTTTGTTCGTCCATTCATTCATTCATTCGTTCGTTCGTTCGTTTGTTTGTTTGTTTGTTTGTTTGTTTGTTTGTTTGTTCGTTCGTTCATTCATTCATTCATTCATTCATTCATTCATTCATTCATTCATTCATTCTTTCATTATTTCATTCTTTCATTGATTCATTCATTCAGCGTTCGTTTGTTTGTTTCTTCGTTAACGTCAATGTGCTCATTCGTTTGTTCATTCATTCATGTGTTTGTATGTTCGTTCATTTGTTTGTTTGTTTTTTGTTTTTGTGCTGTTTTTTTCCCTATTTCTTGTTTTATTCATTTGTTTGTTCGAGTGGAACAGCTTTGTGGTTGGTGTAATGTCACTTGGAATAAGCATGTTGGCTTTCTCTTGCGGTTTTGACATGCTAGTTGCTTTTGATTGCTTTGTTGATTCTCTGATTGGTGTTATGTCGGAAAAAAGGCGAGCTGGTCCGTGTGTTTTACTGGTTTTTTGAGAAACGCCTTTTGCGTGAGTGGGATCGTACCAGTTTCCCTATATTTCCCTGTTTCCCTTATTTGTTTGGTGGGGGCCCACCAAGAATGAAATTACCCCAAAAGGGATTGGTGCCCTTTTCTTTACAGTTCGGGCACTCAACTGGGTGCAAGGAATGAGCATGTCCTTTTTTTTTCTCGCATGAGTGTCACTGAGAGTATTGAGCGAAACCACAAAATCCTGTTGCAATGTCTGGCCTGCAAATTAGCACTCAATCCAAGAAGGGGGTCCATTTCCCCAGAGATGACTCTGAAATCATGGCTTTTTGGGTTCCATGTTGATTTGTGGAGTATCCTGAAGAGATGCGGAGCCCCCATCTTACTGAGGTAAGGCCAAACTCTGTGACGTACCTGAACACCATCACTGCCTGTGAGAGACTTGGAAAACACTGTCAGATATGGGGGGGGTGGATGGTCAATCAACCTCAGTTTATTAACGGTGGGGTGTCCCTGGGTTTAGTGGGGAATCACCTTTTGGAGGGGATCACCCCCTCTCAACATACTGGGGTTGATTAGTACGGGTATGGGTCAAAACTAAACCACCGGGGGACCACAGGTGTTAGTCATTGTTTCCATTTACCAGGGCAAGCCATTTTGGAGAATACCTATTTTTGACCCACAGCCATATCGGGGGGTGGATGGTTTTGGTGAAGTTCAGCCGCTAGAAACTGCCCTTGGGGGACCCCCGTCAGTGACATTCCGTCAGAGGGATGAGAGCCCACTTTGGCATCATCAAATTGTCATTTTCACGGTGTGCCTTTGCATATCAACGTGCATCACATTCCCAACCATCGAAAGCATGTTGCGGTGAAATTGAACATCAATCTCACCACCATGTCAGCAACCTACAGGGAAGCTGTTTGTTGTGTTGTTTCTTTTCCATGTGGCACTCTCGCAGAACTCTCGTAGCTGGGAAACATCGCATTCGCCAAGGTCAAGTCACAACCAATGAGCAATCATCAATCTCTGGTTCAAGAGCCCTGCTGTGCGGCTTCAGCAGTTTCTCTAAACACTCGGTCCATGAAAGTCCGAATCCCCTGCATTTTCCGTTGGAGCAGGAGGTTCCTTCAGTTGTTTAGATCTCCTGGCAAGGCATGGGTACCTTCCCAGGGTCACCTGTCTACAAGAGTCCAGCGCTTTTTTCTCAGACCTCCCTAGGGTTCCAACGCATTGCACCTGCAATCGAGGGGTTTGAACATGTTTTTTTTCGGGTACACCTGAGATTATGGGAATGATGGAATACGATGGTGGAACCAACACCTTTCCACAACGGCAAAAGCAGCCCTAATTCTCACAAGGGCGCCACCTCTCTCAGCTGTCACCACGTGCTCTACACGAATGTTGGATATCGCCATTTAGCTGTCAATATCATGTCTCCTTTTTCGTGACTTTGAATTTAAGGGAATGAACTCTCCTTCCTAAACGTGAATCCTCGCAGAAAATGCTCAGCCGTGTTCTACCTCTGTCCCAACCGAGAAAAGTGTCTACCTCTCTCCCAACCGAACAGCCAGCTTTCTCTTCCCATGCCAGCGTGGCACTTAGCAACTTGGTTGTTCCTTTTGCGGGAGAATGTTCCTTCTTTTCAAGTCAAGAATGACATGCAAGGAAGTCTGCCAAGGGTGCCTTGCAAGTCACAAATCCGCGCAATGGACGTAGGCGAGCGGCACGTTGGCAGCAGGCCCTGGCCTTGCTGCCGGACGAGGACGGGGAGGCGCGGCGCTCCGTGTGACTGGGGGAGGTACCTGTGGTTTTGCCCGTCGCCTTGGTTTTTTGAACTGCAGGTCCCAAATCAAGTTTGCTCCATCACCTCAAGGAACAGGAAGAATCAATTCCAATAGAATGGTCGCTTGACACTTTTTGTGAAGTTCCTGCACAGAGAAAACGCATTGGGACGTTTGATGTTGTCAGACCCACTTGAAACTCTTTGGGAAGAGGAAATGAGAGTGTTTGTCGCTGGTTGTGGTAAAGTGGGCTAGGGGGTGCCACTTCTTTGTAAACAAATGTTGGAGTCACCTCAAAAGTGACAAAGTCATAGGGGCTGGGAATCAGCCACTTAAGTTGATTTCCATTCCATTCAACCGTTCTTCTTTTCAAGCATTTGGGCCTTCTGCGAAAGGATCTCTATATTTTTCTAGGGGTACCTTCCCCATTCTGAACCCAGGCATCCTTCTTTCTACAAAACCACCCAAAGCCCTGGGGAAGCAGCGATCGGTTTTTGAAGATAACGATGGTTGAAAAGAATGGAAAATTAATCAACCGCCAGAGATGTTGGCGGGGCTGTCTTTTTGTGGGTACCCTTCTTAGGCTTGCTTTAAAAGGAAACCAAGGGACCGGCCCTTCTTGTTGGGGGAGGGGAGTTTGTCCATCCACAGTATTCTTGCAAGCCCAAGGCTTGCTGCAATGCGGCTCTGGCAGCTTGCCCCTGGCACCAGGGCGTGCGACTGCTGGGCTCCATGCGCAGCGTCAGGAGAGCGGCTTCGTCTGGAGAGCCGCCCGAGGAATTTTACCCCTTTCGTGGACTTTAACGTAGTCTAGGTCCCCCACCCTTTCTCACCAACTTTTTTGGTTGGGAGGGTTCCCCTACAAACATAGACTAGAGTAAAAAGGGAACCCTTATTCTAACCTCTCTACTAGAGGACCTAGTGGCCCCACCGCTTGGGTGCCACAGGACCTCTTCACCATTTGCGGTTGGGAAGCCACTGGGCTGTTATGATGCTACCTCTGGATCTCTGGCACGTCGGTCCTGCCTCCTTCGGGGTCCCTTCAAGGAAGACCCGATTCAGGCCGCAATCCAACAAATAAGCCAAAAGGCAGGGTTCCTAAATTTCCCGTTTTGTGGCTTTACACATCACCTTTTGAGGCAATGAAAGTGAGCTTCCTTCAAATTGGGCAAGCTTTAAGTGTATACGCGGCCCTGAAGGCGGGGGGGGTCACAAGGCAAATCCTGAGCTGAACGTTCCGCGCAGGACGGACCTGAGCCGCATCTCGAGCAGGGCCCTCATCAGCCGCTTGGCTAGCTAAACCCAACATCTGGAGAGATGTGCGTGGTTCTTCGGTTTGCGAGAACCCCCTGTTTGGTTTTGAAATCAACGTCCCGCCATCACCACCCACTTGGGGGTTTGAGACAAACCCAATAGGACACCCCGAATTGTGCGGGTTTGAGCTCACAGTTGAGCTGCAATCCACACCGGTTTTGGTAGGGAAGAGGTCCAGTCCCAGCCAAAAATAGGTGGGGATATCCGCCCATTTGATTCTTTACATGGTTTGATTGTAATTTATTTGTTGCTTGATACCCTTCCCACGTTGCCATGGAACCCGACCGACGAAGGGGGCGGGTGGAAAAGCAAGTTTTCTCAAGGACCTGGTGGGCTCCGGTACTGTTTTAGTCATGGGTTTCCCCTACTGCGAGACGCATCTACCTTAAGGCTTGTTTGTCTGGCATCGCTTACCGGCTGCGTGGTTTATTCGTCGCTGTTTCGACATGGGGAGTGGACGGGACTGGGGGGACGAGTTTTGGCGTTGAGATGGGGTACCAAAGACCATTTAGAAGGGTTCTTTGGTGCATGCTTGGATGTTAGGACTTCAACTTTTTAGAAGGGTCCTTGGTGAGGGACGCCGAAAGCTTCCGCGGCTGAGGCTCTTGCGCGCAGGGCATGCAGTGGGGGCATGCCTTGCACACAATGAGATCCCTCCACCTTCACAGAGCAGCCCGGCTGAACCGCTGAGGGGCTGGCGTCCGGTTCGGGTGGTGGTGTCCCTTGGTTCCACTGGTGGCGGCTTAGGAAAGCTGGCCGGTTCTCAGCGGGAATGACCCCAAGAAAAGCCATCCCGACTTGGTTTCCTTGAAGGGAATCTCCTTCTCGTTCATGCCCCACACCCGGACTCGATCATTCCCAACCTATCGTTGGCCACGTGTTTGAGGCTTGGCGAAATAATATGAGGGTTGTTCGGTTGCGGCTCGGTACTTCTTGTGTTGGAAACTAAAGTGGAAAACACAATTTTGTTCGGGCCCCCGAAGTCAAGCACTCTTTGTCGCATGGTCAACTTGGGACATATATATTTTGTTAATGTTGAAACGCATGTGGAAACATGAACTGTGTTTGGAATGCTTGACCATAATGGCATGTGCCATTTTGGCTCAAGCTTTGCTCTGGGTTCCTGGAACCCAATCTGATTGAAAACTTTTGCTTTTTCGAACCTAACCCCGACCAAGCAATGGCTTCCTCGGCAACCTCGGCAACTTCCTTTGAGTTGATCGAGGACCAGACACTCACCGTGGAGGAGATTGAAATGGCCAGCCAGGAGGCCCAGGACATTCGCACACGGGAGGCGGCAGTGGCGGCCGGCTTGGTTTTGGACGAGCCTGAGGCCCCCCCGTCAGCTTCGGCGACCGATGTGATGAATAACCTCTCCAGTGCACTGGAGCGTCTCCAAGTGGCATTTGCCACACCGACTCCCGGCTTGGGTGCCCCTGGCCCCGCCGAGAAGGGCGACAGGGACATGGGGGATGCGGACGGCACGGAGCGGGCCACACCACCGGAGGAAGCGCAGACGCCACCCACGAAGAGACTGAAGGGCTTTGTGGCTGCTTCTCAGAAGACTACGTCTCAGGCCAACAAGCCTGTCACCCTGGTGCCGGTGGACGGAAAACCTGGGTACTTCAAGCTGGTGGACCTCCCGGACTTGTTTCCAGTCCTTCCAGCGTTGGCGGCCACCTTGCTGCGGGACATCACGGTGGAGGAGGCGGTCTCCCTGTTTTGCAAGTTTGTTGGGAAGAACCTCACGGAGGACCTGGTGATCCGCATCTTGGAGGCGTACGTCCCGATGAAGATCCAGCTCCGCCAGGAGGAGGTCTGGGCTTCGCAGTTCCAGAGGAACAAGGCGTGCATCGGCACCCAGCGCATGCACAGGCTCGACGCAGGTCATTCCGACTACAAGTTCATGCGCAAGGCATGCGGAACGGGGTGGCCAGAGGCGGCCAAGCAGTGCTGCATGGGTCTGCCCCGGCAAGGTGTCCGCCCCCTTCCAGGCACCCTCGGCCACCTATGAGGCGGATGGCATCACCTACAACCTGCTCATCTTGGAGGGCAAGCCGACCTGGATCCAACAGCGGGCAGGGGGAAGCCTGGGTGCCGTTGGCCCCGGTGGTACCCTGGCTCAGGCCGACCGCAACTTGGTGGACGGCACGGTCTTGGGGAGAGCCCCTCCAAAAACGGACTCGGCTGATGAGATCACCATGGCAGATGCGGTCCCGCTCAACATGCGGGTGGACATCCGGCAGGAGATCCTGTCCATGGAGGCGGATGACGAGGCGTTGAAGGTCCGGGAAAGCCAGAAGATCCGGGTCAAAGTGCAGCGGTCCCTGGAAGAGGCGGAGGCTCAGAGCTTCAAGCTCTACCATCCCCAGGTGGACCAGGCGATCAGGAAGAAGGGGGAGCTGCATAAGGCCTTGCGGGAGCAGTGGGAGCCGACTCCGGAGGAGGCCTCGGCCAGGCGGCTGCACAAGGAGTTGGTCACTGAGGAGATGCTGGACAACGAGATGGCGATCCTTGCGCCCCTCCAGGAGGGCATGCAGGCCCTACCGTCAGATGAGGTGGCCAACGCGGGAGCCCGTGCCCTCAGGAAGGTCAACCTGGAGCGTTTCAAGGCCAAGCTGAGAGACCAGTACCTGGAGGGGAAGGGCGTTGACGCCAGCCAGGCATTGGGGCGGCAAACAAGCGAATCCAGGACACCAACCAGGCATGGATGCTCAACCACACTCTCAAGCCCTTGGAAGTGTCGGCGTGGCCGGATGATCTCCGGAAGACCCTGGAGAGGGGCCTATTCTGCCCCCTGAAACTGGACGACCCCGAGGACATCCCCCAGGTGGGGGACATCAAGGAGAAGTATGTCCCCTACATCAAGATGCTCCGAGCGTCGCCTGGAGGAGATGCCCGAGCTGGCGGCACCGGCCCCCCCCAAAAATGCCACTGGCCCCGGGGGGGACCAGCCCATGTCCCAGCAGGACCTGGACTCCGAGGACGGCAAACTGTCCCTCATCCTATGGGCAATGAAGCGGCACCAGGGTGAGCTCCGGATGTTTGGGGGAGTTTGGAAGAAGCGCGCAAGCGGTGAGATCCCCCGGGGCGCTGACCAGCAGTTTAAGCTTGCGCCGGAGGAGCTCCTGGCCCTGGAGCGCAGGACTCACCCATGCACGTGTGAGCAGGACCACATCGACCCAGTCATCTACACGGCCTTGGAGATCCGGGCTCAGGTGAACCGGGGTGAGTGCCCGGCACCTGAGCAGGTGGTTGGTATCTTCTGGGCGAAGGGTGATGGGGTGTTCTGGACCAGACAGACGAGAACGTGGGACCTTCCGAGCCTGACGGGAGTGTACGCCCACAGATTCACGTTTAAGTATATCTACTCGGCCTGGACCACCTTCCCGTTGATTGTGAAGACGCAACGCCGGGGCCGCAATGTAAAGGAATCGACCTCGGACAAGTGGATGGGCAACATTATCCAGATGAGGAAGGAGGCGGTGCCCTTCCTGGAGAGCCTGGGCATCCCCAAGCCGCACAGCAAGGAGGAGTGGAGTTACATCTTCAAAGAGATGGGGACATTCTTGGCGGCAAAGAATTTCATCGTGAACTGCCCGTTGCCCGTGATGGAGATGCCGGTGGCCCCCGTCCATGACAGTAAGGAGGCGCTGCGGTTCAGGGCAATTTGCGACGAGCGGATTACCCTCCCGCTGGCCTCGCTGAAGGCCTTCGACTCGGTCTACACCAAGTTGGTGGCTGGCCTGAGCAAGTCTTCGATGGTGGAGGTGAAGGTCAATTGGCGCTGCAACATGGCCACGACTGGGTCGAGCAGGTCCCGCAGGAGGCGGCGGGGGCCTTGTACGACAGGTTGGGCTACTCCCAGGACCTCATCCGGCAGCTGGGTTGCTCCCCCCCCCTTGGGTGCCGTTGGCCCCGGGGGGGGCGGCCAAGGCCTGGGGGGGGCAGACACCACGCTCCGGACCCCAGACCAGGCCACCAGGCGGTACCCGCCCATCACCGCGGCCACGGTGACGGCGGTCGCGGGCCAAAAGTACGTCAAGCACTTCCCCAAGGAGACGAAGCATGTGTTTTGGGCCTCCGTGGAGTGTGGCTTGGTCTTGCCAAGCATCAGTGCCTGGGAAGTGGTGAGCAAGGAAAAGTTCAAGACCACGGGGGGCTATATGTGCAGATTTTGCAAGGGCTTTTGGAAGGCGAGCCGTGGGGGGACCAGGCTGATCCAGATCACGGGGTGGCACAGGGATAAGGCCACCTGTTTGCAGTTGGTGATGGACGAGCCCCCGGAGCAGCTGTACAACCAGTGGATCCGCGATCGGATGGAGTTTTACAAGAGGGTGGAGCCAACGGAGCCTCCCAGAAATGAGCGGTTGGTCCTGGGCGACGCGAGCACCCCCCGCATGCGCTTCAGCTCCTCCAACGGCCTGGGGGATGTCTCCACGGCCTTGTGGTCGGTCATCTTGAGCAACCCGGAGAAGTCGGGGCTGGCGGCAATCCATTCGGTGGCGAAGGAGGCGATCCTGAAGGGTGGGAGCCGCTAGGTTTTGTCTCACAACCCTGTCGGATGTGGGAGTCATGTGATCTCTTCCTCCCGGGACTTGGGTGCCATTGGCCCCGTCTCCGGGGGGGGGGGGGGAATGTCTTCCTTATTGGGTTCGGTTTTCACCACTGTTTCCTCTCTTATTCAATTTTGATGGCGCACGTGGGTTTTTCCGATTGCATGGCAGTGGAGCCACATCACGGCAGCTTGATCTCCTTGACCAGGAGGCCACATGCATTTGCTGCCCCAAGGACGGGCCATCCCAGCCACGGTTCGGAAAAAGTGGCTGCGGCCGACTCTTGTCTTCCTTGAGGTCCCCTTCGGGTTTTGGGGAATCCCCCGCCTGGTCGGTCTCCCCCTCCGTGCTTTTGGGGGGTTTCTGGGGGGTTGATTTTGGGTCGCGCTCCCCCCCTCTCCCTGTTAAATTCTCGGGACTTTGGGGGGGGACTTGTCGGGATGCGTGTGGCATGCATGCTCATTTTGCACTCTGCACTTCGCGAGGTTGGAGCATGCATGCATTGTGCCGCGGTGGGGTCCCGGCGGTCGATAGGAGGCTCAAAAACCCCCCCTTTTTCATCATGGCTAGGGTATCTACCAAGTTTCTTATGCGCCCGCCCTACACACGTCTTTGGGACCGCATTCCGAGGGTTCTATGGGACACGTTGGCGGACGAGTCCTTCTCCCCGAGACAGACGGACGGGGAGCTGTTGGTCCTGATGTGCCTGCGCCAAGGCACTGAGGAGGAGGGGAGGAAGCTGGGCGGAGAGCCGGCTATCCGCTTCTCTCACCTCCTGGAACTCTCGGGCATTCCGGTAGGACAACGCCCACATGGTCCCGACGGATTACTTCAACGGCCTGGTGGCGGCGGCGGCAGGCAGGCTTCCCCAGCCTCTGTCCGCGGCGGACCTAGCCGACCTGTGGGACAGCATATGGTTCCTCCTCCTGGCGACGGCGGATGGCAAGCCGAGCGAGGACTTTTCCCCGCTGGAGAATGAATGGGACCGCCAGGACCAATTGAGGTGGTTCTCACGAGATGACCCACCCCCACTCCAGCAACCGGAGCTTCTGAAGTGGAGGCACTGGCGCCCGGGCAAAATAAGGGAAATGGAGCCCACGACCCAGCGAGCGC